GGTGGTGGTGCCTGTTTTGGGCTATATTTTGTCTCCCAAAAAGCACTCCCTATTGCTTCTGTCATATGCAAAATAATAATTCGTTACATTATAAAATAAAATATTTATCGTATACCATCATTAGATTTGTATTATCAAACATAGCTCCTGAAATAGGTTACACCATTTTATTAATAGATTTGGATGGCTCAACAACGCCCCCCAACCCCCTCCCTCCTCTTTGTTATTCATGTATCCCCCTGCCCTTCCTTGTCCTTCTACCCCCTCCTCCCTGACCCTTCGCCGCCCCTCCCCCCTCCCTGTTCCCTCCCTGCTCTTCTCTCCACTGTGCAGAGTGTGAGTGACGTGGTGATGGGAGCTCCTTATGCCATCACTCAGGATTTCATGGACTGCTATAAGGTCAGAAACACACGTGCCTGTTGGGGTCTCTATCAAGTTACTCAATATATGTGTCTATTCAGGTTTTACTCTGTCAGTTTATTCAATATGTCTCTATTGAGATCTATGTCAATTTTTCCAATAAATTTCTCTTTTGACGTCTCTGTCAATTTATTCAAACTGTCAACGTATTCAGTTACTGTCACTATTGAGATGTCTATCAGTTTTAACGAGTGTCTCTAATCTTGTTCCATCACAATTGAATCGGGATGGAAGAAGCAGTATAGAGCGGTTATTATTTTATATGTAATCTTCCATTCCTGTTAAGTAACGTCAGAAAAGAGAATGATAATAAAAATACGGTACCTGGTAGAGATATGAGATCTCTTGTGAAAATTTCAATGGAGTTCATGGATGATGACAAGATCTATTGTCCATAGATAAAATAATTATATTGTTCATAGATGATGAAAAGATCTATTGTCCATAGATAAAATAATTATATTGTCCATAGATGATGAAAAGATCTCTTGTTCATATATAAGATCTATTTTTCAAAGCTGGTGAAAAAATATATTGTTTAAAGATAATGAAAAGATCTATTGTTCATAGATGATGAAAAGTTATTGCTCAAAGATACGATATATTATTTAATGATAATGAAAAGATCTGTTGTTCATAAATGATGAAAAGATCTATTATTCATACATGATGAAAAGATCTACTGTGGATCTTACTCGCCACATTATAATAGTACAATTATATTATTGATTGCTTTTAAGGACAAGCGGGCTAACCCAGATTTCGGGGGTTTCCAAAAACTTGACCTACACCAAAAGTGGGTATTACCCTAGCTGTAGGAGAAGTTTGGTTTCATTGGTGTGTATATTTGTTTGGTTATAGAGAAAGCTCTAGTTGTTTTTAAAGAAATTGAACAATGGGCAAAAACTTTACCTTCGATTTTCTCAAAACAGTATTTCTCGGGATAGCCCCCTTGTGCTTAAAAGCGACCATATAATATGAACAGAGGTTTAGGGTCAAAGTCAGTAGTACTAATGGCTCATAGGCTGTGGGACTGACACCCATGTGCCCCCAGAGAGCAATGTAACTTATATAGTCGCATGGACCGGAATTTCATTCAATTTATTCTAATTTTTAAAATGACCAAATTTGCTAATTTCATGAGTTTTGTTCCTTTGCATACGCCATGCCAAGTCCCATGAGCTTGAGAACCATTCGTCTGTATTTCGCGAAACAATAGGCATTTGCTGATAGACAGTCCTCGAAATAATATGAAAGCATCTGGTCCTTTTTCCCGGTTCTGGTCTTATTTCTAAGTGTTCTTTTTTAAATCTCTGAAGGTAGGAAAAGTTTGGTTTCATTGGTGTATATATTTGTTTGGTTATAGAGAAAACTCTCCTTGTCTTTTAAAGAAAGTGAAAAAGGGTCCAAAAACTTCACTTTCGATTTTCTCAAAACAGCATTTTTCGGGATAGCCCCCTTGTGCTTAAAAGCGACCAATTACATAGATCCAAACTTGAATGTTTACAAGGCTCTATCCAAGCAGACGGGATGTAGAAAGACGATTTTTGCTGTAGAGATGTAGTGAATGTTTACAGATAACTCAAAACGTTGTGAGCAGATACATCCTCAGCTTTGTTAACGGATTTAACAGATAGAGATCCCACCACGGTTAACATCGTATGATATCTGTTAGATAGATATAACCGGTTGCCGGTGCTTTAGTATGGTTTGCTCCTTCTTTTCTCTAAATCGTCTTTCGTGTTTATCTCTCCTCCTTTAAAAAAAAAAATGTTACTCTCTTTCACAACCTTTAATCTCCGTCGCTTAAATGACCTTATTGTGTTGAAAGCGCCGTGAAACGCTAACTAAAACTGACAGACAGCTCCCACCAGTCAATGTTAACAGATTGCCCTAAAAGTTTACTGTCTTGTGTCTTGGATCTGTCTCAGATAAAGCTCGTGTGTCACGGAGAGACGCCGGTGAAGGCAACGGACGGTGGACGGGATCCCTTTGAGGTACATCTTTTGACTGATGACTGGTGACTGACTGGTGACTGATGACTGGTGACTGATGACTGGTGACTCATGACTGGTGACTCATGACTGGTGACTCATGACTGATGACGGGTGACTCATGACTGACTTTGACTGACTGGTGACTTGGTGATTTTTACTGTAGATTCATGACTGACTGGTTCTAAATTATATACATTTAATAGTTGGTGGACATAGAAACACACGCTTTTAAAGAAACGATAGTGTGTGTATGTTTGTGTATGTGTGTGTGTTTTGTGTGTGTGTGTGTGTGTGTGTGTGTGTGTGTGTGT